AAGGCGGCGGAACTCTGTCACGTACTCGATCATGGAACCTGACTGGCGGATACAGGATAGCTGGTGCTCGACGTCTTCTTGTTCAAGATGATCACCAAAGAATTCTTCAAGGGTTTCGATGAATACTTCATACGAAGTCAAGACACCAGAGACATCCTCAAGTTCTCCATTGATGTATGGAGCGAAGTGCCGAGATGCGTCGCCATCTAGGCACTGGAGGGAATAATTGATTTTGTCCTCATCGCTGGACAAGGCATCGGGGAAGCGGGCAAAAACAACTTGGAGGCGGGCACGGAAGTCGGAAAGACACAGCTCCTCACTGTTGCCCTTGAATTTAGAGGCGATAGGCTGTGGAACAGCAGTTCGTACAGCGAGAGCGGTGGCCCGTTGGCAAGGCGGTTTAAGATGGACTGCATGTCCCGTTCAAAGGTGCGCTGCATGCTCCTTTGTTCCTGGTGTTGTGCTGCAAGAGCTTCAATGGCACTACGGAGGGTGATTAGCCCTGCAGGATCAGGATTGCTATTTAGTTGTGCATGTTGTTGATTCATTATGCCTTGGATATTCTGGATTTGCTGTTGCATGCCGCTAACGGCCTCAGCGTGGGATTGTAGGTGTGCTAGAACTTGGCGAGGATCCACGTTAGGGTCTTGAGCAAGCTCTTCGAGGGCTCGCGGAGTATAGATCTCTGGATGGGGGTTCTGTGACATGGTGGAACAGGTAAGGGACAAGGAAAGGTGTAGTTAAACAGTGGACAAGAAAAAGGAAATATTTTTATTGAGAACTAGGGGGAGACAAGACAAGGATTGTGTAGAGTCTGCAATGTCAAGGACTGACAGGACGATTGCAAGAGAAGGTAAGTGATTTAGGAACAAGAATGAACTTAGGAGATTCAAGAATAGTTTTATTGCAGACTGAGGTTTACTATGTTACAAATCTATCATATTTATACTTGTTTGACTGAAGCGGAGACGCGCTTCAAGAACTCTAAATAAAGCTTACTCAAATATTTCCTAAGGACTTTTACCATATGCGGAACTCCAAGTGTTGAGTTAACTTAATACACAGGATCCGAGGAAGATATCTGGTGCAATCTTATTTCAAGGTTCCTTGGCACTATAAGTCTTGGTTATTGGTTTATAGCTCTTCTAGAATCCTTGGAGCTATTCACGGAGCTAGAAAACTAGGAGACGCGACTTGGCTTGACAGGCAAACTATGCATGGAGGAATGAGTGAAGGAAATGAGCGGAACAAATTAATCAAGCACACGTGATCTTTTTCAGATTCGAATCAGACAAAAGTCATTCATCAATTCATGAGCTAGACATTGCTTGCTGTTCGTGACAGATGGTGATGACAGTCCATGGAGGTGAGACAAATACGAATGAGAAACAGAAAGAAAAAGGAGAATGAATGTCCAAAAGTGCAATTTATTGCATTAGTACCGAAATGCACCATACTTTTTACCTGAGATTGATAACTGGGGTGTTACTCCTCTTCTCCCTCAGGCCAAATTTTTCTGAAAAATTTTTCGTGACTAGATGAACGGCACTGTAGGCTGGCGCAAACGAAAATTAGGGGGTAGAACAATGGTAGTGGAGGCGGGGGATGAAAACGACGAAGTGGCGTCAGTGGATGCAGTGTTTGAGGGCATGATGAAAACAGGGCAGGAATGCACGCAAAATGTAACAAGGGCACAGGTACAGGAGAAAAGAAACAAGTCAAGAGCCAGGAATAACAAGGGCACGAGGCTGTGAAAAACAGGTCAGAAGGCAAAAATAATTTTTATCAAAGGGGTGGATGAATCGAAAAAACCTTTGCTACCATGTAATAGAAAGTGGAAGTAAGAGTGATCTTTATTGAAATCTCAGGTAAGTGCTATTTAAAGGAACTGAGACTATCAACTATTGCTACAATGTGACACGTATGTCGCCTTTAGGTTACATTCCAGATCTTTTGATAATTCGAGTGTCGAATGGTCCGAATGTTTTGAGTATCGATTGGCTCAAGTGGCTCGAATGTTAGAAGAGCTCGTAAGACGTAGCATTGCTGCGCGTAACGCAGCCAAGGTCAGTATGTCATTATTATAAAATAAAAAAAAAATATTCAATTACGTGAGTATCGAATGGGTCGAATAGCTCGAACTACTCGAATTTAGATATCCTTTTGATAGACGGATCGTTAACATCCTTATCTCATTCGAATCGAAGTCGATATCAGTGAAAATCAATTCAACTGGTTCGATTAGGCACTGTTCTAAGTGAGATAAGCCAGAACCACAGTGCGTAATAATGACCCAGATGAAGATGGAAGCTTTATTAGTGTAAGGTAAGAGTGCTCTATACATATCCCGCTCCAAGGAATAAAAAAAGAAATGTACAATGTGATGAACTATATATTCAGCTTCACTAAGCTATGATCCGATCCCAGGATGATGTCTATATCAGGTGAAGATCATGTTGACCAGGAGGCTATCCATGCAATAAACGGCTTCAATAGATGCTCGGCACCCCCCCTGGTGCTAGGAGGCTAGCGAGATCCATTGGCTACTTGGTGTCGCCCACGGATCCCAAGAAAAACCCTGAGCGCGCGCTTCTTAGCTCTGAAGACATTGTTTGGTTCAGAACACAATGCTTCAGATGGAGCCTGTAGAGCGTGTCTTGGCGCACCTCCCAATTTGGAGCCAAGCTCGGCCAAAAGTGAATCTTTCACTGTATGAAAGCACTTCACCCTGTCTCTACAGTCTTGAAGCTCGCGAAGGCTCCAAGGCGACATATGATAATAGCTAGAGGGACAATAATGACCCTCCATCGTACCGTACTGGACCTTGAGAGTCCTAGACGGTGGCGTTATTATCGTCCTAGCATGGCTTGGTAAAGGTCTACCACCGCCATCAAGTAGATGCCATGTTTCAGGCTGTTCTAGGACAGTTCTGAATAGGCATGGATCTCCGTAACGCATGCCAGTCGTTCCTACGTAGACATAGCACCCGTTACTCTTTTCCTCCTGGAAAACAATAGTCGGTGGACTATTCTCGTCGTGTTCTGCAAGAAGGCGGACGGCGAAATAGACCAAGAAGGCCGATTTCCCAATCCCAGACATTCCCGTGACAACATAGGGCTTCGTATGGTTTGTTGTACGGGAGGTTTTGTATCTGGACGTGGCAAGGTCGTAAAGCTCTTTATATTCGTCTCTGATATAAAGATGCCGCAACCCGACCACAGGGAAGACGCTACCCGGAGGGGCAGTCAATACATCGAGATTCTTGATATCTTTACCACTATTTCGAAGCTGGCGAGCAACCTCAATGATAGTGTGGTAAAGACAGATACTCGATGTATTTCCCCTATACGGTAGCACCTTGGCTCTCCTTTCCGAGTTGGGAGCCGAGACATCACCATTTACTGTAGCTTGCCCTACAGCTTTTGGTTCTAGGATCGAATCCTCAAGGGCGCCAGAGCTACCTGCACCAGTCATGGTTTGAGGTGCTTTTTTTAGAGAGCGATTATTACAAAAGAGATAGAGTGATTAAAGTTAATATTCTTGTTCGTTTACACTCTACCCAAATACATTTAAAAACCAGGGCCTTGTTGAGAGCACTCACCAGACGCTCCTGTTACCCGCTTGGCTGCTGTCCGCACAGCTTGTCCATTCCGGGAATAGGGGTTAGCCCTTTCGCCAGTGTTGATAGTAGTATTCACTTTTGGCATTGGTGTTATTTTTTTAATAAAGATGAATGTGAATGAGTTTATGAGAGGATGAAAAAGATGATAAAAATAAACGAGATGAAGTAGAAAAAAGGAAATGAAAAGAAGAAGTGAGAAATCCGATATAATATATGGGAAGAGAACGAAAAAAAAAAGGAGTACCGTGGGAATAGAGATGTCTAATACTCGAATCACATGTCGTTTTTCTGACGCCATTGTGACATTTTAGTCATATGATAATACAGTCAAGCAAAAAAGTGATAACATAATTCGGTAATTTTCGGTTTTCCACCAATGTCTTTACACCTTTCCATTTACTGAGGCTATCTTAGTGCCATTTATTCTCAACAACTACATGTAGCCTTCCAGAATATTCTAGGCCTCGCTGATTTATAGATATCGCTGGAAGGTTCTAGAAAGTTGATAAGCTCACTCTAACACCTATTCAAAATATCATAAATACTATCCTCTTTCGCTCTATAAATGCAAACATCTCAGTGCATATCAATTGAGAACTAGAAGGCAATCCAACAGCGCCGAAATCACTCGAAGATCTATGGAGCCGCTTCTTAGACATACAGTCCAAGATTGATATAGAAGAAGTCCAAGGCCTCTATTAAAAGACGTCCAGGAGGATAGGGAAGCACTACGATAACAAGGGAGGGTACATAGGCTATTGAGAAATAAAGGATAAATGAAGTTTTATGAGAGTACTTTTCAAAAATGTTTTTGAATAAATGTGCCATCTTTGAAATTTGTCTTCAACAGATTGATCACCACTTCCTTGCGGCTGAGATTAGCTGCGGACTAAGGTGATATACGTGATTTTATTCCCTTATGCTCAGTTAGGTATATCAGAAGAATTGGAAGAGAAAATAGAGAAATACATATACACCGACAAACAAGCCAAAAATTGTATACAGGATTGAACCATGCAGTCGAAGAAGATATCTGGCGCATTCTTATTCTACGGTTCCTTGGCACCATGAGCCATAATCATTGGTCTATAGCTTTTATAGAGTCGTTGAAGCTATTCACGGAGCTAGAAACTATAAAACGTTATTTGGCCTGACAGAACAAAAACTATGGATGAGGGAATGAAGAAATAAGGGAGGAACTACTCAATCTAGCACACGTGGTCTTTTTCCGGTTTGGAAACAGACAAAAAGTCATTCTTCAATTCATGAGCTCGACATTGCTTGCTGTTCGTAAGGTTCGTAACACTCTCAGATGATTATGCAATAATTATATTCAACTCTTAAGACTATAGCTATTCACTTATTTATCATATCTTGTTTAGTTCCGTTCCACGGTTGATGGCAATGGAGCAGGAATCCTTACTCCGGATATGTAATAGGAGCGACGTCGCCATTTCATTGTTGTATCTTCTGGGCTTGTGAGATTATCAATTTTTGATATCATACCCACTGCAAGCTCCTATTTTAATTATAACATTTGACTCAATACTCATTAAAGTCGCCAACAAATTACGATGAAACTGCAATGTCACTCACCTTGACGGATATTAGTGGCCCAAGTGCGGGAAGAAGCAATCCTAATTGAAGGTTATTTCTCGGGAGATCAAATACACCAATATCCCTATATAGATATACAGCTTCGGATTCGAGTGATAAATGAACAACTCTGCAGCTTGAAGCTTATAAAATTGAAAGATATCCATTAATATTTATATTAAGACTCCGTTTTAATTTGTCTTTAAAAAGAACCTACCACCGATAAGGAATCCAAGAACCACTGGGCTAGGAACACCATTTGAAAGCAGTCTATCAAGCATAAGCTTCATCATACATGGTAGCTTCCTTTTGTCACTATCTAGGGCATCATGAGGTACCCCTGGCTTTTTAACCTCAACAACTATAAATGGATGACCATTTCTCTCTGCATAATAGTCAGGATAGTATTTTTCCTCGAACCCTGTTGGCAAAGGTAATGGGTCCCTCCCCCTAAGTCGAGTGATTAAACATTTAAATATAATTAATAATCAATAGTCTATTAACTAAGAAGCAAAATTGTTAAGTGTTATTACCAGTGATCCGCAATATCAAGATTTGTAAAGACGCCAGTAATAATGTTCTTGACAATTGCTTGGGTATACGTGTCCTCATTTTTTTGCTGCGATTGTTGTGTAATAAACTCTAATGATGAATCCTGCCAAAGGCTTGGCCTAATGGTAAAAGAGACCAACACATCCTCAATCATGGCTTCTGAGGAAGAAATGTCACGAACATATTTCTTTGTTTCTAAAAATGTATGAGTCGCTGCAAACATAGCACATTCTGATAGAATTTCGATCTCCTTCTTTTCTGGGGTAAGGATAAATATTGGTGACATCTTGGTGAAAACTTTGACAGGAAGATGTTTTTTTAGAAACTCAGTGTCAAATATAAAGTTGAGGGACCTTTGTGGATATTAGTAATAGATTAATATTAGTGACAATATTCAGGTCTCTAATTCGACAATCGAATAGAATTCGAATGCACTGTAAATTTTTTTTTTTTCACCCTTTCAATATGCATTCGAATTTCATTCGATTATCGAACAAGAGCCCAGCCAGTATTGTAGAATGGCATTTATTTCTTGCTTTCACTTACAAAATATCAGAGGTGTTTTCCAGTTCGCTCTGACGTTTTACAATCTCCTTCCGAGCATTCATTAATATCTGTGACACATCTGTAGTTCCAATCACAAGTCGAGCCGATGTATGTAATTGTGATGAGGTGGATCCGGGTCCAACGAGGTGGTTTATATAATGGAAATCAATAGAGTTTAATGAAGATCTTGGTGATGATCGGTCTGATGGATCCGAGACAACATAATCTAAATCACTTTTTGAGGATTGTGAGGCAAGCTCCTCGTCTACAAATCTGATTCTCTTGCTTGAGGGGGGTTTTGATGCCGGAATAAGTACCACAGGGGAAGGAGCGTTACGAGGCGATGTTTCTAATGACTCAATATTTTGAGGTACTTGCTTTCTCTTGGCTATATTCATAGGAAAAACAAATGGAATTAATAGAGTACCAAAAAATATTAGCCATCATTTTGCTGTTACTTACCATTGCGTATCTTTAAGCTCTCAGTGACTCTTTGATCGGCATTATCAAGCTGTTCGATAGAGTTGTGGAGAACGGACCACTCACGCCCAACAATTAAGCGTTCGCAATAATATTCATCCAAATGTTGATTTGTCATCCGTGGGGCATTAATGGCCGCTTCTCTAACTTTGGCAACTTTGCTCTTCTTAAGGTCACGTATCCATTGATCCCATTCCTGTCGTAGTCGTAGAAGTAATGTTTTTTCTCTTCGAAGACCTCTAAACGCAATGTAGTCACAAGGATTAAATTCTAGTCTTCCTGACAGTGAGATAAGATATCCTGCACCTTTTCGAGAAACACTGATCACTTCATTCCAGTCAATCTCCTTTCTTGAGCTGCGTGTTTTGGACATTATAGGCTGACGGTGTCTACGGCTCATGAACAAATCAAATGATCCTCAATTAATATAAATAATGGAAAAGTGCGTTATAAACAACTACATATATCAGCCTTGCCAGTCGTATCTATCATAATGATAGGATCATTGCTGGACACTATAGCCGGCACAAAAGCATACTATAAGTCGTGCAACAACCACGAAACTAACCCATCCCTCTAACACATCTGAGATCTCCTCATTGAGAATATAATCTTAAATGACCATGAATGATCAGCGAGAGCTAGAGAACAGAGGTGGGCAGGCAAGGTGATAATCAAGGTTCCTTTTCGATAATCGAACAGGATTCGAATGCACTAAAAAAAATATTTTTTTTACATGCATTCGAATTTCATTCGATTATCGAATAGGAGCATAGGTGGTAACTTCTGTGCCAGTCGCAAATTGCCGAAACGCAAGATTGCTGCCGGACATTACAGCCGGCACAAAGGCGTGCTATAAGTCGTGCAAACAACAACGAAACTAACCCATCCCTCTGACAGATCTGCGATCTCTATATTGAGAGCAGTCTTAAATGGCCATGAATGACCAATGAAAGAAAGCCAGAGAGCAGAGGTGGGCAGGCAAGAAGATAATTTTTGTGCCAGTCGCAAATTGCCGAGACGCAAGATTGCTGCCGGACTTACAGCCGGCACAAAGGCGTGCTATAAGTCGTGCAAACAACCACGAAACTAACCCATCCCTCTGACAGATCTGAGATCTCTTTATTGAGAGCAGTCTTAAATGGCCATGAATGACCAATGAAAGAAAGCCAGAGAGCAGATGTGGGCAGGCAAGGAGATAAAGGGGTACTACTCTTAAACTAACATTTTCATATAATTTTTGTGCCATTCGCAAATTGCCGTAACATATTCAAGTAGCGACAAGATCATTGCTGAACATTATAGCCGGCACAAAGGCGTGCTATAAGTTGTGCAACAATCACGAATCTATCCCTATCATCTGACAGATCTGGTTATCATAGTTTGATGAAAGCCAGCGAGCAGAGATGGGTAGCATTAAAATGTTTGTAATTAAGGGTTATGGATACCTTAAATATACGGGGAAATGAGTCTCGGATCAACTAAAGAAGAGAGAAAGAATGAGCGTATGCGTGAGTGGGAGGGGATAAGTACAGAGTACGGAGAGAGAAAGAGAAAAGGTGTGCAAAGTGAGCGATAGAGAGATAGACACGCAGAGAGTGAATGTAACGAGAGAGAAAGAGAGAGATGTTGTACTGAGGAAAAGAGATTTAGATGAAATAGAAAAATAAAAAGAATAAGCGTAAGATAGAGGTAAAAAAATAGGAGCACAGAGATAAAAAAAAAGAGAGAGAGGGAGAGCGAGTAAAATAGGGTGTAGAGAAAGAGGAAAAAAGATTGTTGACTAACGATTAGTTACATAGAGATAGAAAAAAAAAAAAAAAAAAAAAAAAAAAAAACGAAGAGAGAGAGAGAGAGAGAGAGAGAGAGAGAGAGAGAAATAAAAAAGTAAGGCTACATCAATCAGGTAAAGAGTGGCAATGAGTATGGGAAATACTAAACTTACATTGTGTGAGAGGGTAGAATAAGAATTAAAAAGGACAAATAGACGATTATGAAAGGAATGAATGATTTTAAAATGCAAATAACGCAATGAGAAAGAACAAGTGAAAAAGTAGAATGACAATAACAGAGAGAGAGAAGAGTAAGTACGGAATCAGAAGGTGTAGTGAGTGAATTGAATACTAAGAGGACACGGAACGGGAGTGAATAAAAATAAAAAATAAAAGAGATTGAAAGAAAGAGAGTGTAATTGATGTGCTGAGGAAGGAAAAAAGTGTGCCAATAAAAGTAACGTGATCACGATAAACAAAAAAAAAAAAAAAAAAAAAAAAAAAAATTAGGCGAGGAATATGTGATCAATATGAATCACATGGATAGGAAAGTGAAAGAGACACGTCCCTACTGATCTAAGTAGGGTAAAGGACAATCTCTAATTGACAACTAATAATTGATAAGTGAAATTAGATCTTACATGTGACTGATATGTCACAGTGTGTAGTGTGTACAGAGATATTGGGGCAAATATAAAAAAGTAAATGTACAAGACACAGAGACACAGAGAGAAAAAAAGTCATTCGGAGAGGAAAACAAAATTTGATGCGTAAAGTGAAAAAGTAGAAAAAAAGGCACGCAGAGAGAGCGATAAAGAATAGGTGTACAATGAGAGAAAAAATAGATGCGCAGAGACGGAAGAAAAATAATCAATGCAACACAAAGACAGAGATAAACAGATGCGTAGAGTAAGAGAGCGATTGGTAAGATGCGTAAAGACTCATTAAGCAAGAGAAAATAAATGCGCAGGAAAGTGTCTGTGCAAAAAGAGGTAATTAAGCGCGAAATCCAGTCTTCATCAGCTAAGGAACTAATGAATTAAATAAATTGATCATAATTACCTTAAATTAAACGAGCAATCATTTTGAATGTCGAAAATGAGAAAGAGAGAGGGAAAAGGATAATGTTGGAGTGAAAGAGTGGGGTGGGAAAATAAATATCAGCAGACGTAATTTATTTTAAACATTTGTACATAATATGGCCGATATGTATGTACGTGGTTTATTCCATATTTTGCCACCAATATTTCCGCCAAGAACTATTCGCTCTTTGCTGTTTTGCTGTTCCAAAAGCGTTTATTTTTTTTTTATCACGCAATCATTCCATGACATCACAAAAAATTAGACTCTTTTGCATTATTCATGGTAGAATTGGACCCTCACAAGTCAATTTCTGCTTTAAAGAAAGCCATTAAAAATGAGGACATACCAGAACTCGAAGCATTCATTCAAGCAAACTCATCCTCCGGCATGTCTCAATCCCTTCCGCACCAAAAAGACAAATTACTCTCAACAATCTGACAATCGAAGAAAGATCAAAGGAACCGTAGGAGCTAAACGACCTGACAAGTGAGTTATCTAAAGTCTTAGGAACGTCCCACCAAAGAAAACCATTCACGTCATTGTCCAGCGACCGTTGGCAGGTAAGAAGTCGTTAAATTCAAATTGTCTTTGTTACTGCAACATGCAAGCATTTAATGTCTAATGATCCTTTTTTTTTATTTTTAGTTTTGCATTCGCTTCTCTATTTTCCCCTTCTGACAGCTCTTGCTATTTTTTTCTCTTTTTTTTTTTTTTTTTTTTTTAGTGTCGCCGGTTTTGAAAAAGGAGAAATGGACTGTTAATGATTGGCGAGTTTGATTTACTGTTTAACGCAAGCAATGAGATCCGCAATCAACGCTTACAGCCGTTCCATGAAATCCGACAGACCAACCATTTATATACCATTGACAGTATTGTTGTGTGCGGGACTTTTAGCAATCAAGGCTTGGGCTCAACAAATCAACGTGTATCTCCTTTTAATATCAGTGAGGCTCACAGGAACCCGTATTTTACTCTTGAGCAAACAATGAACCTCTTTAAACAATATGCAGAGGACGGGAGGAAAACAATAGATGATCAGATTGTTCACGACATATTCTTAAGGTCGAATGGGTACGTTAATAACGTCGTTAGTAATGAAGTCGCTACAAGTGTGAACCACTCTCTAATGATATGAATAATTTTACTGTATCTCGTTACCGATAGTCATCCAGGAATGATTTGTTTTTGCGGACACTCCATTTATGAGAAACCTCGCTCGAAAGTCATCAATTCGACGAATCATCTCAATTACGATACATGGCAGAACTTCTCCGCAGACAATCAGAATGAGAGAATGCTTTCGTACCACACTTTCAGAAGGATAGTCGATTCACTATTGAGTGAATCAGTTACAGGTGCTGTTAATCTTCTTCGAACACATTTTTTTGGATATCTCGACGATGTACCTATCTCAAACTTGGAAAAACAGAGATTGGCAGACTTTCTAACTGCAGAAGGGGCACTAATAAAAGTTGATGGCAATAATTACCGTATGGCCTCAGCTTTCAATGACTCGTTTGCGAAGAGACACATTATCCCATCAAAATATCCCCACTCTCCTTCAGAGTCGCCCCCAAAGGAAAGAGTGAGGATCATTGGATATTCTGAAGACTATGAAGGTTGCTCTTCGATTTTTCGATAGAAGCTTGATTATGCAGGCGGAAGGTCGATCATACAAAGATCAGAGAAAACTGTTAAGGTTATGGGCAACTACAATGTCGACGTCCCTCGGGAGAGCGTCTATGACACGGAATTGATGAGAGTTCTCACCAACTGGCTAAGCAAAACAGAAGAACATGGGATCATTGGCCAGTGGCACCTCTATGAACTTAAAAGACCCTAAATATAGTGATATTGTCATCAAGAAATCAGAGGAGTCAACGGTTGTTATCGAGCTTTTGGCTATAGGAAGCCAAACTTCTATTAAAGAACATATCAGCAAGACGCTAACTTACAAACGCTTACACAATTCGAACTCTAACTTTTTGATACTGTACGAGAATTGAGTTTGAGAGTGCCATGGACACAAAGAGAAGTATAATGAGAAGACTGGAACTCTCTTCATGACAACTGGAAATACAAATCGAAAACATGATATTAAAGCGCAAGACATTTATCGCAAAACCTGGCTGCATTAATTACCTTTTACTTTGTGCTTGAGTTCCCATCTTTTTATTTTTTTTATTTTTATATTTTCACAATCTTCCGCCTTTTATATTTTGTTGTGCTGGCAAAAATCTTGCAAAGTAGACTCCATATCCAGAAACTAGCTACAAGTGCTCCTTTCTGTTTAGTATATACTTATTTTCTCTCATTCTTTGTCTTTTTATTTCGTTATTATTTTTTTTTTCATTTTTTAATTTTGTCTTTCTTTTTTACTTTTTCTTTTTTTCAACTTCACCATTTTTATTTTATTCTTCTTTTTTACGTGTTACTTACATCTCAAAGAGTGTGAAAATTAATATACCAGGATGATCTCTGCTCTAATTTGTTATTTGGCCCTTTCAATTCATGCTTGAGCCTCCACTTCTTAATTTATTTTGTAGAATCCAGCCTTTATATTTCATTTTTTTTCTCCTGCACAAATGCTTGGATTCATGTTTATGACATTTTATGTGGGATGGGCTCCGTCAGAGAAGAGTACGAGCTTCCACATTTGGATGGACACCTAAAATCTTACTGGGGTAATAAAATTTATCATGGTGAGTAATAACTGCTTGTGGTTGCTTTTTGATCCTTCGATGTCAGCTCTTCCTATCATACTGAAGCAGAATTCAGTAAGCGTTGGATTGTTCACCCACTAATAGGGAACGTGAGCTGGGTTTAGACCGTCGTGAGACAGGTTAGTTTTACCCTACTGATGAAATGTTGTTGCAATAGTAAATGAACTTAGTACGAGAGGAACCGTTCATTCGGATAATTGGTATTTGGGCCTGCCTGAACAGGCAATGGCCCCGAAGCTATCATCCGTTGGGTTATGGCTGAACGTCTCTAAGTCAGAATCCGTGCTAGAACGCGACGATTACCGCCTTTTCCGATAATTAGTTGCAGACGAATAGAGCTTCGGCTCCTGAATCATGCTACGCGGGGTCACTTTGCAGGGAGGAAAGGTCTTGTGTGGTGCCTGCTAATGTTAATTTCAAACATTGGAATAGATAAATCCATTGCAGGCGACTTTTAAGCAACGGTGTACTATAAGCTGTAGAGTGGCCTTGTTGCTACGATCGACTGCAGTTAGGCACTTTTGTTGCACAGATTTGTTCGAATGAACAAACATCTCTCTTTCTTCCATTTGCTTTTTTTTTTTTCTTAGGGCCTCCTCTTAGGGGGTGTCTATTAGTAGAACAAGATAACTTTGTAATCGTCAAGCGTAGACGAGAACACTTAAATGAAAAAGATCCCGCTTTTTTTTATTTTTATTTTTTTTTATTGAGTGTTTATGCAGAAAAGCGTTATTCAATAAATTGATTGACTTTGTCATTTGTGGTCTCCATTGCTCGATCGATGGATCCTTGATCAAGGTAAATCCTTGTGTTGAATGGGCTCCTTCCATTTTCAAGCAAGAAAGAGAGAGTTTTGCCGCCAACTGATGGTTTCTCCTTTTGGTCAATGCGAATTGGTGGTGTGGCAAGGGTGTCCATTGTGTGGGTTCCGATTACGAGCCTCTCGCTATTCTTGGAATGCATTGTTGTTGGATACACGCCCACATATCGGTGCTCGTTACTTCCCGGTATTGATGTTCTAGTCGCGATCCCTTTTGAGATTTGGAACGGTTCACAATGAACATCGATATGCTCCTTTCGTCCATACACCTCGACACAATCAACTAAGATGGCATGGGAGTCACTTACTGTGCTTTTCACTAGTATCCATCCTGCAAGGAGCTTTGCACATGCACATCTCCATGCTGTAGTCTCTAAAAGCCCAGTCTTCATTCAGAAATTGGCTTATTTTCTTGTCCAGCTCAATGTATTTTCTCTGTTCAAGAATTGAAGCATAAGGCGAGTTCTGAAATATCTCTTTTAATTTTGATGCTAGAGTTGGTTGGCATTTGGAACATTACACATCCGCAGAATTATTGTCAGGCAATGCTACTTTGGTGGAAATAGAAAGGGACCTTTAAAAGGAAGTCGTTCCAGTCCCTTCATATGTTTAGAAAGAATTTCTTCACCTCCTTGATTGCTTCTTGCAACAATGGGAGCCGTCTCTAATAATTCAACAAAGAACAATGTATGGCATAAGAATATTGTTCTTCACTATTAGCGCGCGAGCATACTACAGACAATGCCAGATCCACAACCAAGCCTGGTTTCACTTTTATTGCGATGGTGTCCTCAAAGCAGAGGATATGACAGTAAACAAGCAAACACAACAAAAAAAAAAAAAAAACAGGGCATCGTTGGACGTGTTCTCGATACTGCTTCAGATTATGGTCAATGGTGATAGGCATATGGCGGCCTTTAGACATAATACCTTCAAGAAACGGGGCCTCACCTTTCAGCTGCTCTTGAAGCAACCCTTGCTCCCCACCTTCAGTGTATGCCATTGCAGGACCAGGCTACCAAGAAGCAATAAGCTTGGTAAAAAAATAAAAAAAAGTAGAAAAGGTAGGAAATAAAAGGAAAAGTACCACAGCTCAACCGTCAGTTTATTAGAGGGACTTAATCAGTTTATCATTAAAGGAAAGTTAATATAAACAATCGAGACTTTCCCTTACCAGTCGCTTGAGCGAAGCTTCAACTAGGCTCTTGACAATGGTCGATGGATGGACCTCTTTCACGGGTCTGTCGTACATCTTCACGAAGAAACAGTCTAGGACATTGTCATCTTCGTCTGTGGATTCTTCTTTATTGGTGAGCGGTCTGGCAACGGATACAATCAAACAGGAGCTTATGCTCGTCCTTCGGTCGCTACGGTAGGTACTTATTCTGAAGTGTCCGCAGACTTCCAGCTTGAAATCCGTTATTTCCTCTTTTAGCATGTTCATCACGAATGACGCCATGGGGTTCTGCTTGTAGGCTTTTGCAGTGGAGCCTTCGATATGGATCTTGGAGTATGCTCTGCTGCCCACACACTTGAATGAGATGTTATGAAGAAGCAAGCCATCCTCCAAGCGACCATCAGGGGAACAGGCTTGCAATAATCGCTCGAGGATAGTGATATATAAGATTTGTATGAAAGGAAGATAAAAAGGCACGTCAAAGAGTTACCTTTTTTTTACCTCAGCCAACCTGCCTTTCTTTTTTTTTTTTTTTTTTTTTTTTTTCTGACAGCAAGGTCCTCAAGGTCATCGGTCCTCAGTTGAGCTGATCACTGATGGGCGGTGAAATTTATTATTTTTCTCACCGACTTGTCTTGAACTGATCACTGATGGCGGAGTTTTTTTTTTTTTTTTTTTTTTTTTTTTGATCAATCAAGTCATCCTTGAACTTTTACCCTTTCCTCCCACTCTTCGCTCTGTTATTCTTTATTATCTTATTTCGGTCTCACACTGCCCTTCCTCTTGCTCTGGTTTAAAGCATTCTCAAGGCTCTTGTTTGCCATTAAGAAGTTGGTAAAAAGAGAGTGTACAGATTTTAGTATTTCAGGGCTAAGGACACATTGGGACCAGGATCAAGCAAGGCTGTATATAATAGTCCATTTGTAGTAATGGAGACAGATATCCTGTTGTCTTCAGGTTCAGACCCTCTGTAACCAATATTTCTATTTGGTTTAGGATTCGCATAATTGTCATGCAGAGTGGTGCTTTTGATTGTGCTCTTTAACTTTTAGTACAGCACTTGGCGCTGCAATTTTTAGAATGATTAATAGACACAGTTTTGTGAATCAAGGATGAGTGCTTAGGTGCATCTGATGAAGAGCTGGCAGGGCTGTCAACATAAGGAGAAAGGTCCATACACTTTATTGCAAAATTCGAGGTCGTTTCCAAGAACATCGCTATACTGTAACTATCTTCTTTGGTATGAGTTATAGCTACTTTAAAACTGTTCTTCGGATCTTTTCTAGCCCGCCCCCTTGCTTGAGCTTGCTTATTCAGCTCAGCAAATTTAGCAGGCTTGGTATGCCTGAAGCAGTTAGCATCGGCATGCTTTTTTTTTTTTTTTTTTTTTTTTTTTAAAGGAGATGCATACTGGATTCTCGCACAAAATGATGGTACTCTCATCTTTACGGGTTCTATTGCCATGATGGTATGTATGTCTTTGTTTCTTTCTGTTGGTTCGATTTCAATGTGAAGGACGGGATGAATTCCTTTGGGGCCTTGAGTGAGACTCCTATCGTAGAGGATGGGACCTTATTGATCTGTAATCCTTTTGTAGTGAAGTTATTGATGAACCAAGCACATGGATTGTTTTTTTCACCCGTGAGGACGGTTGAATTCACTCTAATAAAATCTAACAGGTGATCTACGTCTTTTATAGCATCCAAGGACTTGAATTCTTCGAAGACCCTTTCTTGGCCAGCATCAGACAACGCCGTTATGATTGCCGTAAAGGAACACACCCATAGGCTGTAGCCCACTAGCCTCAACAATCGACTCTATTCTGTCTGCGAAGGTATTTGTATCTTTATGTAGCAAGACAGTAAAGTCATTATCTGGCAAGTGATCCAGGATCGAATTAAATCGAGCTTCAGGATCGACTGGATGCTCCCTTTAACTTGCTTCCACGAGCGATCACCATAGGCTTCTGTCTTTATCAGGCGATTGTACTTGTTGTCCAAGCGGATCTGTTCTAGAGCAGATCCCATGTATCGCCACCAAGCCCTCGAAGAGATCGTCAGACAAGAAATTACGATATTCTGCCTCGAAAGCCTTGACTCTTGATCAGACCCACAATCCTTTAGAGGTTTACCCAGAATCACAGAATGGCCTTCTGTATGAGATGGTGGCCAATAATATATTAAAGATTAGTTGTTGTGCCTTCCTCTCCAAGATGGCTTTTGCACACTAAAAATCTGCGCTTCTCCTGCATGGGACCACAAGCCTGTCCTCTTCTCTTCCCATATGACTACTGATATGCATGCAAGAAACTGGCTTGGTCTTCGGCCTAAAAGTCCATTAAGCTGGTTGACAACGATGCATTGCGAACTTTGCGTGTTCAAATGCCTGTACACGCCTATTGGTCTACGTAAATTCATTTAGTGGTGTCACATGTGGAAGGTATGATCTGGAAGTGCTACAAAGGACGCACTATCCTCATTATCAGAGTAGCCATGGGACATATGTGTGACCTCTTTTTATTCCTTCTGACCGAGAAAAAACTAAAAATAAAATAAATAAAATCTAGCGTTCGCTCTGATCTACTCTCTATCTAGTAACGAGTGAAAAGAAAAGGGAGGTGTGGGAGGGACATATGTCCCATGGCTACTCTGATAATGAGGATAGTGCGTCCTTTGTAGCACTTCCAGATCATTATCCTCGTAGCCATGGTCCATATGTGACTTCAGAGCGAACCAAAAACAGACGTCGTCAAATTTGAATTGGTTTTGCGGGAAACACGGTAGTGTTTGTTGAAAACCTTGTCAGACGACCAATTCCCCTGAACCATGATATCTTGGGTTGATACGCCAGCGATGGCTGCCAAGGTTGATCCTATAGCGCGTGGCTTTGGAGGAGGCCGTTTCGACGGAAGATTTGGAATTCGACGTGTGATTTCATTCATAAAAGTGCCTATGGTACTGACCCTAAGGACTTTAGACTTGTCTTTCACAAAGCGCATAAGAGGATTGAATTTATAATCCTGATCTTTGTGGTGCTCGATTTCGAGAGGTGTGTCCGCTATCCGTCTGGTGTATTCTGTATAGGCCTCGACTGGGCAAATTTTCTTGTCGTTAGGGTGTCTACCTACGAAGATCGACTTTATGATGCGCTGCCCATCGCGTCGCTCCTTAGGGAAGACTATGGTAAGGAGAAGACCCTTTTCATTGGTCTCTGACTTTGACACATCGATGCAACCGATATCATCTGGCCGGAGAAACGCACAAACGCCTAAGAGCCAGCAGAGCTTGCGAGAGAGCTTAGGCATATCAAGATCCACATTGTCCTCCATGCGGAAGTATGAAAGGATGGGTGAAATGTCGAGTGCGGATACGTGCTCCATTTGAAATACGCCAGTACTTTTCATTGCTGCCATGAACCGCTGAAAGTAGATATTGCCTGTGATCACGGATGTGTCGTCGTAAAGCTTTAAGATGGCTGATTTTTTGTTAAGAGTGGTATTCCTACTCCAAGAATAGATAATCCGCGCATGGCATAAATAGTTAACTACAGCAATTGCATTTGGCGTACTAGGGTCGAAGCCTTCTTGTTGAGCCCATACTGCGAAAGCCTCTTGAGTTGGCAGATATTGTCGACGTGTTTTGCTGTTGGCACCTGCTGAATCTAGTAGAGTGATAGCGGATGGTGAGAGTCCTGCATCTAGATCTTTACGTCGCCTCTTATTCTCCATGCTGTCAATGACCAGAGTGGATTCTTGCTGAGGAGATCGCTTGCGCTTCCGACGGCTGGTAGGACTGCTTCCCGAGGGATCGGGATTGGTGGTGCTACTGCCATCTCCTTGATGGTTGGGAACCATATTGCACTCGGCCACCATGGGGTTATTACTGTTGTTGTCAGTTTCTGGGTCTGTATCCTCTCCAAGATGATTGATAGAAGATTCCATGGGGGGCAAATGTAAAGGTTGCCCATCTCTGTCCAGTTGTGTTGAAGGGCGTCTATCTTCAGAGCATCTGGATGGAATTTCCATGAGACAAATGTCGGTAGCTGTTTGTTCTGTGCCGACGCAAATAGGTCCACCTGATGTGGCCCCCATTGGTGTTCCAGTTGTTGAAA